GTCACCAGGAGACCCAGTCCAAAGACGGGTCGGCGAAACCTGCGGCTGCTGAGGGTGCGGCCACAGGTTAAGCTGGTGAGAAGCGTAGCGCACAGCGAACGGCCACAGAAAATGGGGTGCACCGGCATGGACCATGGAGGTGCGAGCGACCTCCATGACCAAGCCGATGCGTCGCTCAGCGACCCCATTCTGCTGTGGGGAGTCCGGTAGGGTGAACGTCTGGGTGATGCCCTCCGCACGACAAAAGCGACCAAGGACACCTGAGGCAAACTCGCCACCACGGTCTGAGTGAAGACGCAAGACAGGGAGACCGCGGTGGACACGCGCAGAGACAAGCCAGGGGATGAGGGCGCCAGGCACGTCGGCCTTGCGCTCCAGGGGAAAGACTGTGGTGTAACGAGTGAAGTCGTCGACAAGCACAAGGAAGTAGCGCTCGCGACGCGGCCCAAGGACGGGGGCGGGGCCCCAGACGTCCAGGTGCAGGGTCTGCAGCGGCGCGGCGGTAGGGGGGAACGAGGAGGAGTGAGGGGCACGGCGAAGCCGACCCTCGACACAAGGCGTGCAAGGTGGAGCTGGGGAGGAGGGAAACGCGGGGAGTGAACCTGGGAGACCAAGGACAAGACCGTGCTGGGACATGTGACGCAGACGCGGGAGCGCAGGGTGACCTAGGCGGTGGTGCCACAGGAGGGTCGGGTGAGTGAGGGAGCGACAGGAGCACGCAGCAGCAACCTGGGTAGACACAGCCACCTGAGGGGGCGCTCCAGCCGGGGGGGCACGGTGTCCAGAGTGAACAGGCCGGACACCGGGTCCTGGGGGAACGTGGACAGGGGGGCACCAGTGGCGGCCTCGGTACAGACAGCATACCGCTCGTGACCAGGGAACGTAGTGGTGACGCCAAGGTCCTGGAGGCAGCCGACACCAACAAGGTTCCTGGAGAACGAGGGGATATGCAGACCTGTAAGAGAGCCCGAAGGAACCGCCGGACAGGGAAGGGTGGTGGAACTGTGGGCGACTACCGGACCGCCGGAGGGGTCAGCAAGAGAAACGGCAGCAGGAACAGGAAGCGGCGTCAGGGTGGTGGAGTCGCGAAAGAAACACCGAGAGGCGCCAGAGTCCAAGGTGAAGGAAAGCGAAGCCGAGGGGTCTGGCGACGGAACGATGGCAGAAGCACCAAGACTACACAAAGCAGGGGATCCTACGCCTGACGCAGCAGGGGAGGCTAAGCTAGGCACACCTACACTAGGCAACAGTGAGTAATAAGTCGGAAGCACACTAGAGTCATCAGCATACATCACATGCAGAGCAGAAACAATGGCATCCATGTCCATATCAAAGATCTGAATCTGACGACTAAGCAAACTGTGCCAGTCCGGGAGGTCTGGCGACGGGCCGAAACGCTGACGAAAGAGGTCGTCCAGGCGACGAAAGCAGCGGGGAGTGGAGTGACCGATCTTACCGCAGACGAAGCCGCGGCGAGGACTGGTCTAGATCTGGTACTGACAACGCCCGCCGGCAGAGCCACCACGCGGCACACCACCACGCGCCCGTCCACCGCCAGCGCCGGGCCACCCTGGCGGGAGAACACTCGTCTGCCGCGTCTGCGACGGCTGCTGCAGCTGCTGCGAAGGCTGCGACTGCGGCGGCTGCTGCGGCTGCTGCAACTGCAGGGGCGGCGACTCAGCTGGACTGGGCAGGGTCCCCTCGTCCGCTCCAGCACCAGGCGACCCGACCCCACCACTACCCCCGCCCGCACCCCCGCCGCCCCCTCCGCCGCGCCCAGCCTTGGGGCGGCGGCCCTTCCCAGAACGGGCCTGCGCTGCAGCAGCAGTCTCAGCCACTGGGGCAGAGCCGTCGGAGAAGGTACACTGAGCGGGGGCACAACCCTGAAAGATAGGGACCGGCACGACACCGCTCGCCTGGGCGATGGAGCGGTGACGGGTCTCTATCACAGTCAGGGTGTCGACAAAGTCAGTGAGGGTGAGGTCTGCGGGGTGAACACTAAGGAAGCGGTCGCGGGCGACTGCAAGGCGGTCAGGGAGGTGGGTGGCAAGCAGGTAGAGGGTTGAGGTAATGGGCGGCTGGTGGGCTCTAAGCTGTGCGTCAGTGCAGGCGGCGCGCCAGGTCTCCTCTATCGAGCACAGGTGGGCAGCGAGGTCAGAGACGGTGGGGAACGAAGCAAGGTCAGGAAAGAGCAGCGGGAGGATCAGGCGACCCACCGAGGCAGCCGGAGGGGTGGAATAGCGCTTGATGACAGCATCTAAGTATGCCTGAGCAGTAGTGAGGGACCTAAAGCGAGGACGCTCGGACGGGGGGAGGGCGTTGCTAATGGCAAGCTGGGCGACAGCATCGCGAGAAAGCCAGACAGAGCGCGCACGGGCAGTGGCAGCAGTAGACTCACGCTCAGTGGGTGTGGGGTCAGCGGGCAGAATAGCAGGAGGGTCAGGGCAGGGGAGCGTACCGTCAAGGTGTGCGGAAAGCGGTTCACCATCCTGCCGCTGGCCAGTGAGTTGGCGGCGGAGGTCGGCAAGCCACGCCTCGAACTCTAGGGGCTGACCTTCAGCGTCGAAGCGAAGCTCCGCCGCCATCAGGAACAGTCCAGTGCTGTGCAGGGCGGTGCAGCTAGGTGGGGTGCGGTGCAGTGCGATACAGTGCGGTGCAGTGCGGTACTGTGTGATACAGTGCGGTGCAGTGCGGTGCAGTGCGGTACTGTGCGGTACAGTGCGGTGCAGTGCGGTGCAGTGCGGTGCAGTGCGGTGCAGTGCGGTGCAGGGCGGCACGGAGCAGGGCGGGGTGGGGGGGGGGGGGGGGGGGGGGGGAACCGTACCAGTGAGGAGGACGGGGCCGGGGCTGGCCCGACGGGGCCGGGCGGGCACGACGGGGCCGGGCTGGTGCGACAGGGCCGGGACGGGGCGACGGGGCCGAGCGGGCGCGACGGGGCCGGGCTGGGGCGACGGGGCCGGGCGAGTGCGGCAGGGCCGGGCTGGTGCGACGGGGCCGGGCGAGCGGGACGGCGGCCGGGCTGGTGCGACGGGCCGGGCGGCTGCGACGGGGCCGGGCAGGGTGCGACGGGGCCGGGCGGGTGCGACGGGGCCGGGCGGCGCGACGGGGCCGGGCAGGGTGCGACGGCGCCGGGCGGGCGCGACGGGGCCGGGCGGCGGCGACGGGGTCGGGCGGGCGCGACGGCGCCGGGCGGGCACGACGGGGCCGGGCGGCGGCGACGGGTACGACGCGGCCAGGAGGGGCGCTACGGGGCCTGGGAGGGGCGCGACGGGGCCCAGGAGGGGCGCTACAGGGCCATGGAGGGCGCGACGGGGCCCAGGAGGGGCGCTACGGGGCCCAGGAGGGCGCGACGGGCCCAGGAGGGGCGCTACGGGAGCCCCAGGAGGGGCGCGACAGAGCCAGGAGGGGCGTTACGGGGCCTGGAAGGAGCGCGACGGGGCCCAGGAGGGGCGCGACAGAGCCCAGGAGGGGCGCTACGAGGCCTGGGAGGAGCGCGACGGGGCCCAGGAGGGGCGCTAGGGGGCCTGGGAGGGGCGCGACGGGGCCTGGGAGGGCGTTACAGGGCCCAGGAGGGGCGCTACGAAGCCCAGGAGGGGCGCGACGAGGCCCAGGAGGGGCGCTACGAGGCCCAGGAGGGGCGCGACGGGGCGCTACGGGGCCTGGGAGGAGCGCGACGGGGCCCAGGGGGGGGCGCTAGAGGGCCTGGGAGGGGCGCGACTGGGCCTGGGAGGGGCGCGACGGGGCCTGGGAGGGCGGTACGGGGCCCAGGAGGGGCGCTACGAGGCCCAGGAGGGGCGCGACGAGGCCCAGGAGGGGCGCTACGGGGGCCCAGGAGGGGTGCGACGGGGCGCTACGGGACCTGAGAGGAGCGCGACGGGGCCCAGGAGGGGCGCTAGTGGGCCTGGGAGGAGCGCGACGGGGCCTGGGAGGGGCGCGACGGGGCCTGGCAGGGGCGCTACGAAGCCCAGGAGGGGCGCGGCGGGGCCTGGCAGGGGCGCTACGAAGCCCAGGAGGGGCGCGACGAGGCCCAGGAGGGGCGCTACGGGGCCTGGGAGGAGCGCGACGGGGCCTGGGAGGAGCGCGACGGGGCCCAGGTGGGGCGCTAGGGGGCATGAGCGGAAGCGGTGGGTGGGGGGGGGGGGGATCCTACCTACGCGTGATACCATATCAGAATAATTGAATGAATGTAAAGTGAGAGTACACACAAATATATCTAAGTTTTGTAACCTCTAAGAGGTGACTCTATACAGTCTATACAAACATGACAAATACACATGTTTGACAATTTGATGGGAGGGAATGTGACCTCCATTTTTTCCCATACAATATGCATGATTTCTTCGATGTATTTGTTCTTGAGTTACTTCTTCGTGCTAAAGTTTCCCTGTGTTCCACATGCTGGAAGACTATAGTCGACACATGCATTTATGTAATGTTGGTAGGAAGATAACATGCTTGTCCTAAGTTTAATTTAGTAGATTTCTCATGGCAAGTTCTTTTCACTGTTTCTTTTAGCACAGCGCGCAAGCTTGTGCTTTTTGGCGCAGTACTTTTTGGCGTATGATGTGCTGGCGTGAGCTGGGCGAATCGTCGCGTAGTGCCAATTCGTCGCACACGAGGGCTGGCGACACTGCTCATGCCTGCCGAGGCGGGGCTTTGTTCGCGAGGCCTTCATTGCCCCTCGCGTCCAACCCGCTATCTTTGCTGCGTTTCGTGACTCTCGCGAATTTCGCCCAATCCCCCTCTCAAAACCTAAGTTTTTGACTTCGGGGGTTTTGGGATCCGCGCTTTAAAGCCCAGGTCCCAAATTAGCAAGGTTGACCATCAAACTGGGCCCAGTTTGATGTGGTTCGGGTTGGTAACCCAATCCACCCTCACCCAGACCGGGAAAATGCCGAGGGGCTAACCACCCCTTTTCGCACAAGAACATGACAAACCAGCCAGCCAGGGACGGAAATAGCGTGGGCCCAGTTTGATGGTAATTTGGGACGAGGAGGTAGACAGATCCCACAAGGTCCACCCATTTGTGTCGGGGAGTTAGGAGCAAAGCGCGTACTTCCAGATATGGACGAAAAAGCCAAGACAAGTCTCACGTGATGAATTGACTCTGTCGCAAGTGAGGCATCAGAATAGGGTTTAGGGTGATGCGAGAGGATAATGACAAGGCAAGAGGCGAGCGGCTCTCGCTGGAGGAGAGGCGACGCGATAGGAGAGGCTTTGCGGTAGGAGAGAGGGGACGCGAAGGAATGTAGCGACTCGATAAGAGAGAGGCCTCGCGGTAGGATAGAGTGAGACGAGGCGAGGGGAGAGATGTGAGCTGAGAGGAGAGAAGTAAGGCGTGAGGAGACAGACGACGCGGGGAGGACAGAGGCGACGCAAGAGGAGATGGGCGGATCGAAATTCGAGAGGCGACGCCAGAGGAAATAGCGACACGTGGTGAGAAGAGAGAGGTAAGGCGAGAGGACAGGCGATGCGTGAGGAGACAGTCGACGCGGGAGGACAGAGGCTAGGCAAGGATAGAGGCTAGGCGAGACGAGAGCGGCGACGAGACAGGGGAGAGACGACGCGAGAGGAGAGGAGCGAGGCGTATGGTAGAGGCATGGCGAGAGAAGTGAGCAACACGCGAAAGGCACGGGCTAGACATGGCTGAAAGCGGCGGCGCGAGAGGAGGTAGGCGAGGAGAGGGGATAAAGGCGAGTAGGGAGGAGAGAGATGGCGGGAGGTGAGACAGGAGACGCGGGAGGAGAGAGGTGGCGGGAGAGGAGAGAGGCGCCTAAAGAGAGGAGAGCGGCGAGGGGGGATGAGGGGAAGCACCGCGAGATAGGAGGCGGGTTGAGAAGGGGAGCAATGCAACATACGAAGCGAAGTGGGAGGGGGAGCCACGCGGGATAAGAAGCGTGGCAGAGAGGGGAGGCGAGGCGGAGAGGGGAGGCGAGGCTGAGAGGGGAGGCGAGGCAGAAGGGGGAGGCGTGGCGGAGAGGGGTGGCGAGGTGGGGAGGGGAGGCGAGGCGTAGAGGGGAGGCGTGGCGGAGAGGGGAGGCGAGGCAGAGAGGGGGGCGAGTCAGAGAGGGGAGGCAAGCAGAGGGGGGAGGCGAGGCAGAGGGGGGAGGCGAGGCGGAGAGGGGAGGCGAGGCTGAGAGGGGAGGCGAGGCAGAGAGGGGAGGCGAGGCGGAGAGGGGAGGTGTGGCGGAGAGGGGAGGCGAGGCAGAAGGGGGAGGCGTGGCGGAGAGGGGTGGCGAGGTGGGGAGGGGAGGCGAGGCAGAGAGGAGAGGCGAGGCAGAGAGGGGGGGCGAGTCAGAGAGGGGAGGCAAGCAGAGGGGGGAGGCGAGGCAGAGGGGGGAGGCGAGGCGGAGAGGGGAGGCGAGGCTGAGAGGGGAGGCGAGGCAGAGAGGGGGGGCGAGTCAGAGAGGGGAGGCAAGCAGAGGGGGAGGCGAGGCAGAGGGGGGAGGCGAGGCGGAGAGGGGAGGCGAGGCTGAGAGGGAGGCGAGGCTGAGAGGGGAGGCGAGGCGGAGAGGGGAGGTGTGGCGGAGAGGGGAGGCGAGCAGAAGGGGGAGGCGTGGCGGAGAGGGTGGCGAGGTGGGGAGGGGAGGCGAGGCAGAGAGGAGAGGCGAGGCAGAGAGGGGGGCGAGGCAGAGAGGGGAGGCGAGGCAGAGAGGGGGGCGAGTCAGAGAGGGGAGGCAAGCAGAGGGGGAGGCGAGGCAGAGGGGGAGGCGAGGCGGAGAGGGGAGGCGAGGCTGAGAGGGAGGCGAGGCTGAGAGGGGAGGCGAGGCGGAGAGGGGAGGTGTGGCGGAGAGGGGAGGCGAGGCGGAGAGGGGAGGTGTGGCTGAGAGGGGAGGCGAGGCAGAAGGGGAGGCGTGGCGGAGAGGGGTGGCGAGGTGGGGAGGGAGGCGAGGCAGAGAGGGAGGCGTGGCGGAGAGGGGAGGCGAGGCAGAGAGGGGGGGCGAATCAGAGAGGGGAGGCAAGCAGAGGGGGGAGGCGAGGCAGAGGGGGAGGCAGGCGGAGAGGGGAGGCGAGGCTGAGAGGGGAGGCGAGGCTGAGAGGGGAGGCGAGGCGGAGAGGGGAGGTGTGGCGGAGAGGGGAGGCGAGGCAGAAGGGGGAGGCGTGGCGGAGAGGGTGGCGAGGTGGGGAGGGAGGCGAGGCAGAGAGGAGAGGCGAGGCAGAGAGGGGGGGCGAGGCAGAGAGGGAGGCGAGGCAGAGAGGGGGGGCGAGTCAGAGAGGGAGGCAAGCAGAGGGGGGAGGCGAGGCAGAGGGGGGAGGCGAGGCGGAGAGGGGAGGCGAGGCTGAGAGGGGAGGCGAGGCTGAGAGGGGAGGCGAGGCGGAGAGGGGAGGTGTGGCGGAGAGGGGAGGCGAGGCGGAGAGGGGAGGTGTGGCTGAGAGGGGAGGCGAGGCAGAAGGGGGAGGCGTGGCGGAGAGGGGTGGCGAGGTGGGGAGGGGAGGCGAGGCAGAGAGGGGAGGCGTGGCGGAGAGGGGAGGCGAGGCAGAGAGGGGGGGCGAATCAGAGAGGGGAGGCAAGCAGAGGGGGGAGGCGAGGCAGAGGGGGAGGCGAGGCGGAGAGGGGAGGCGAGGCTGAGAGGGGAGGCGAGGCTGAGAGGGGAGGCGAGGCGGAGAGGGGAGGTGTGGCGGAGAGGGGAGGCGAGGCAGAAGGGGGAGGCGTGGCGGAGAGGGGTGGCGAGGTGGGGAGGGGAGGCGAGGCAGAGAGGAGAGGCGAGGCAGAGAGGGGGGCGAGGCAGAGAGGGGAGGCGAGGCAGAGAGGGGGGGCGAGTCAGAGAGGGGAGGCAAGCAGAGGGGGGAGGCGAGGCAGAGGGGGGAGGCGAGGCGGAGAGGGGAGGCGAGGCTGAGAGGGGAGGCGAGGCTGAGAGGGGAGGCGAGGCGGAGAGGGGAGGTGTGGCGGAGAGGGGAGGCGAGGCGGAGAGGGGAGGTGTGGCTGAGAGGGGAGGCGAGGCAGAAGGGGGAGGCGTGGCGGAGAGGGGTGGCGAGGTGGGGAGGGGAGGCGAGGCAGAGAGGGGAGGCGTGGCGGAGAGGGGAGGCGAGGCAGAGAGGGGGGGCGAATCAGAGAGGGGAGGCAAGCAGAGGGGGGAGGCGAGGCAGAGGGGGGAGGCGAGGCGGAGAGGGGAGGCGAGGCTGAGAGGGGAGGCGAGGCTGAGAGGGGAGGCGAGGCGGAGAGGGGAGGTGTGGCGGAGAGGGGAGGCGAGGCAGAAGGGGGAGGCGTGGCGGAGAGGGGTGGCGAGGTGGGGAGGGGAGGCGAGGCAGAGAGGAGAGGCGAGGCAGAGAGGGGGGCGAGGCAGAGAGGGGAGGCGAGGCAGAGAGGGGGGGCGAGTCAGAGAGGGAGGCAAGCAGAGGGGGGAGGCGAGGCAGAGGGGGAGGCGAGGCGGAGAGGGGAGGCGAGGCTGAGAGGGAGGCGAGGCTGAGAGGGGAGGCGAGGCGGAGAGGGGAGGTGTGGCGGAGAGGGGAGGCGAGGCGGAGAGGGGAGGTGTGGCTGAGAGGGGAGGCGAGGCAGAAGGGGGAGGCGTGGCGGAGAGGGGTGGCGAGGTGGGGAGGGGAGGCGAGGCAGAGAGGGGAGGCGTGGCGGAGAGGGGAGGCGAGGCAGAGAGGGGGGGCGAATCAGAGAGGGGAGGCAAGCAGAGGGGGGAGGCGAGGCAGAGGGGAGGCGAGGCGGAGAGGGGAGGCGAGGCTGAGAGGGGAGGCGAGGCTGAGAGGGGAGGCGAGGCAGAAGGGGGAGGCGTGGCGGAGAGGGGTGGCGAGGTGGGGAGGGGAGGCGAGGCAGAGAGGAGAGGCGAGGCAGAGAGGGGGGGCGAGGCAGAGAGGGGAGGCGAGGCAGAGAGGGGGGGCGAGTCAGAGAGGGGAGGCAAGCAGAGGGGGGAGGCGAGGCAGAGGGGGGAGGCGAGGCGGAGAGGGGAGGCGAGGCTGAGAGGGGAGGCGAGGCTGAGAGGGGAGGCGAGGCGGAGAGGGGAGGTGTGGCGGAGAGGGGAGGCGAGGCGGAGAGGTGGAGGTGTGGCTGAGAGGGGAGGCGAGGCAGAAGGGGGAGGCGTGGCGGAGAGGGGTGGCGAGGTGGGGAGGGGAGGCGAGGCAGAGAGGGGAGGCGTGGCGGAGAGGGGAGGCGAGGCAGAGAGGGGGGGCGAATCAGAGAGGGGAGGCAAGCAGAAGGGGGAGGCGAGGCAGAGGGGGGAGGCGAGGCAGAGAGGGGAGGCGAGGCGGAGAGGGGAGGCGAGGCGGAGAGGGCAGGCAAGGCAGAGAGGGGAGGCGAGGCGTAGAGGGGAGGCGAGACAGAGAGGGGAGGCGTGGCGGAGAGGGGAGGTGAGGCGTAGAGGAGAGGCAAGGCAGAGAGGGGAGGCGAGGCAGAGAGGGGAGGCGAGGCGGAGAGGGGAGGCGAGGCGGAGAGGCCCTCTGTCCCTGTGCGCTAACCACCCTGCCGTCCCCTCTCGCCCCATGCACTAGCCCTCCTTGCTTCCCCTCTGTCCCTGTACGCTAACCACCCTCCCCTTTCTGCCTCACCTCCCCACTCCGCCTCGCCTCCCCTCTCTGCCTCGCCTCCCCCTCCGCCTCTCCTCCCCTCTCCGCCACGCCTCCCCTCTCTGCCTTTCCTCCCCTCTTTGCCTCGCCTCCCCTCTCTGACTCGCCCCCCCTCCACTCTCTGCCTCGCCTCCCCTCTACGCCTTGCCTCCCCTCTCTGCCTTGCCTTCCCTCTCCACCTCGCCTCCCCTCTCCGCCACGCCTCCCCTCTCCGCCTTGCCTCCCCTGTCTGCCTCGCATGCACCAGGGGGAGAGGGGAAGTCTGGGTGGTTAGCGCTCAGGGAAAGAGGGGCAGGAAGGGGGGTTACTGCACAGGGTGAGAAGGGAAGGCAGGGTGGTTAGTGCACAGGGAGAGAGGGGCAGCAAGGGGGGTTACTGCACGGGGTGAGAGGGGAAGGCAGAGTGGTTAGCGTACAGGGACAGAGGGGCAGCAAGGAGGGTTAGAGCACGGGGTGAGAGGGGAAGGCAGGGTGGTTAGCGCACAGGGACAGAGGGGCGGCAAGGTGGGTCATTGTATGGGGTGATAACTAAAGGTTATGGGATAAAGGCGACACGAGTTTCCCACAAAGACCCACCCACCTCCCCCTCACCACTGCCCCCCCCCTCTTCTACGTCTCCACATCATCATGACCCGACTCCCAGTTTCGGGCTCCAGGACCAGCACAATGGCGCATCCCAGCATAAACTCCCTCGGCTACGCTTTCTTTTGCGGAATGCAACGACTGGGCCTTTGTGCTCAGATTCCATCCCAAAAGCAACTACAAAAGACTATCACCGGCACATGCATGATCTAGGCAATGCAGCAAAGTGTATTTTGAGCCATCGGTCAAACCCAATGACTTTCACTAGGTTAGTTGAGAAACTGTCAGGAGGCATCCCGCCTTGCAATATCGGCATGGAGGGAAATGAGAGCCACATCTTCTCCCACAACCCCCCACGCACAGTGCATGTTTGTAGTATTACACATAGAATGTAACATGCTATCAAAATATGAGTAGCAAAGCTCCGAGCTAGTTGGCTGGCATTCTTGAATAATTACACCCCGGATTCAAAAAGATGCTGCAATAGGATACCCCCACCAGAGAGGGGTGGCTGAGGGGAGCAATCCGAGACAAAACAGCACCCTGGTGAACGGGGGAGACAACCTGCAAGCCATAACGAAGCAGAGAACAAACAAGGAAACTAAGACAAGAGTGGGGAACATGGATGCGATGATGACGAATCCAAGCGAAGGTGCGAAGGGGGAAGGTTCATCTGGTGCTAGTGATTACGACTCTTTGCCTGATGTGTCGAGAGGAGATGGACGACGCGGGTTAGGATAGATCCTAAGTCTGAGAGGGTAGGACAGGGTGGTTAGTGCACAGGGCCAGAGGGGAGGCAATGTTGGATAGTGCAACGGAGGGAGAGGGGAAGTCAGAGTGGTTAGCGCACAGGGTCAGAGGGGCAGCAAGGAGGGTTAGGGCACGGGGTGAGAGGGGAGGACAGGGTGGTTAGCGCACAGGGACAGAGGGGCAGCAAGGTGGGTTAGGGCACCAGGGGAAGAGGGGAAGCCAGGGTGTTTAGTGCACAGGGACAGAGGGGCAGCGAGGTGGGTTAGTGCATGGGGTGAGACGGGAAAGCACAGTGGTTAGTGCACAGGGACAAAGGGGCAGCAAGGTGGGTTAGTGCACGGGGGGGGAAGGGAAGTCAGAGTGGTCAGCGCACAGGGACAGAGGGGCAGCAAGGAGGGTTGGAGCACGGGGTGAGAGGGGTAGGCAGGGTTAGCTAACAGGGACAGAGGGGCAGCAGGGTGGGTTAGTGCACTGGGGGGAGAGGGGAAGCCAGGGTGGTTAGCGCTCAGGGAGAGAGGGTCAGCAAGGTGGGTAAGGGCATGGGGTGAGGGGGGAAGGTAGGGTGGGTAGCGCACAGGGACAGAGGGGCAGCAAGGTGGGTTAGTGCATGGGGTGAGACGGGAAAGCAGGGTGGTTAGTGCACAGGGACAGAGGGGCGGCAAAATGGCTTAGTGCACGGGGGGAGAGGGGAAGTCAGAGTGGTCAGCGGACAGGGACAGTGGGGCCGCAAGGAGGGTTAGGGCACGGGGTGAGAGGGGAGGACAGGGTGGTTAGCGCACAGGGACAGAGGGGCGGCAAGGTGGGTTAGTGCACGGGGGGAGAAGGGAAGTCAGAGTGGTCAGCGCATAGGGACAGAGGGGCAGCAAGGTGGGTTGGAGCACGGGGTGAGAGGGGTAGGCAGGGATAGCTAACAGGGACAGAGGGGCAGCAGGGTGGGTTAGTGCACTGGGGGGAGAGGGGAAGCCAGGGTGGTTAGCGCTCAGGGAGAGAGGGTCAGCAAGGTGGGTAAGGGCATGGGGTGAGGGGGGAAGGTAGGGTGGTTAGCGCACAGGGACAGAGGGGCAGCAAGGTGGGTTAGTGCATGGGGTGAGACGGGAAAGCAGGGTGGTTAGTGCACAGGGACAGAGGGGCGGCAAAATGGCTTAGTGCACGGGGGGAGAGGGGAAGTCAGAGTGGTCAGCGGACAGGGACAGTGGGGCCGCAAGGAGGGTTAGGGCACGGGGTGAGAGGGGAGGACAGGGTGGTTAGCGCACAGGGACAGAGGGGCGGCAAGGTGGGTTAGTGCACGGGGGGAGAAGGGAAGTCAGAGTGGTCAGCGCACAGGGACAGAGGGGCAGCAAGGTGGGTTGGAGCACGGGGTGAGAGGGGTAGGCAGGGTTAGCTAACAGGGACAGAGGGGCAGCAGGGTGGGTTAGTGCACTGGGGGGAGAGGGGAAGCCAGGGTGGTTAGTGCACAGGGAAAGAGGGGTAGCAATGTGGGTTAGTGCACGGGGGGCGAAGGGAAGTCAGAGTGGTCAGCGCACAGGGACAGAGGGGCAGCAAGGAGGGTTAGGGCACGGGGTGAGAAGGGAGGACAGGGTGGTTAGCGCACAGGGACAGAGGGGTGGCAAGGTGGGTTAGGGCACTGGGGGGAGAGGGGAGGACAGGGTGGTTAGCGCACAGGGACAGAGGGGCGGCACGATGGGTTAGTGCACGGGGGGAGAAGGGAAGTCAGAGTGGTCAGCGCACAGGGACAGAGGGGCAGCAAGGAGGGTTAGGGCACGGGGTGAGAAGGGAGGACAGGGTGGTTAGCGCACAGGGACAGAGGGGTGGCAAGGTGGGTTAGGGCACCAGGGGGAGAGGGGAGGACAGGGTGGTTAGCGCACAGGGACAGAGGGGCGGCACAATGGGTTAGTGCACGGGGGGAGAAGGGAAGTCAGAGTGGTCAGCGCACAGGGACAGAGGGGCAGAGAGGTGGGTTAATGCATGGGGTGAGACGAGAAAGCAGGGTGGTTAGCGCACAGGGAAAGAGGGGCGGCAAGGTGGGTTAGGGCACCGGAGGGAGAGGGGAAGCCAGGGTGGTTAGTGCACGGGGGGAGAAGGGAAGTCAGAGTGGTCAGCGCACAGGGACAAGTCAGGGGGGGAACCAGCTCACCGTGCGCAGGCCGGATGAACTATGTGGAGGCCCCAAACTGGAGCAGTGTAAAGTCCCACACTCCACTGCGGTTGTGGTATTATTGTGGCATAAGGACCATGGCCCCTTTTTGTAAATAGGGGAGAGAGGGAGGCGGGTTTAGGGGGGGAGAGTCAGACAACACGTGTCGTGAAGCATGTGCATGGCAACCAGAGTTGGGACGTGCTCGCGGTTCGTTGTGCGTCAAGTCCAAGTTACAAGGCATGCTAGGAGGCACGGCTCGGGTTGACGGCAACATAACGATACAACTCACCGTTTAGGCTGCGACGTGCCCCCCGGGCCGGGGCTCGCGTCGCGCGGCTCGTGTCGACTGCCGAAGATCTCAAATTGTGCACGTTGGAGCCCACTGAAATTCCGGGAGACGCAATGTCGGGAGGCGAGACTGCTGTCTGAGGTGTTGCTGTCCCCGTCTGTGCCCGAGTTGCAGGCGAACCAGTCATGGCCGCCGACGCAAGATCATCATCAGTCTGTTCCTCCGAGGGTCGCCGCCACTCGTGTAGGATGTTGTCGACCCAACACCAGTCCATCGGACCCAGTACCCGGTCCCTCCGTCCGCGCCGCACTCTCGTGATATGACGCACACGCATGACAAAAGCGCGCACGATCCGGTCCATGCAATTGTTCCAATGTATTACTGCCAGAGCCACCCTCGCGTCATAGCTTCCTTGAAACCTGTTTCTTTTTGGGGCGTACTTCAGGATGAGCGAATGAAATGACTCATTCATGGAACTCGTAGCGCCCTCCACAATGCAAGCCACCTTGGCTATACTAAAGTTCCTACGACACCAATCCCTCACTGCCAAGTGTGTAGCGGAGTTCCGCTCGTATATAGCGCACTCAGGACCCCAGTTCTCCGACACGCATTTTGGCGTTGCACCTGCCCGTGCACCACACCATGAGTGATCCCCTGCCCAGTGGTCAGCACAGAGGCACAACTCCTCCGATACCTCCTCGGGAGTCGGAGTGTTCCCGTCAGCCGACCGTGCCCCGCTACGCAGCATACAATGATAAAAGTGCACGCCCAACCTGTCCGCCACGGTGTGCACCTTTTTGCCCCCCCGTGGTGCCCCGCTATCTTCCCCACCGGCAGCCGACCCTCTACGCGTCCGTCTTCTTGGGGCTCGCCGACCCCAACGCCTGCCGCTCTGCTGCTGGGTCCCCGCTGCCGGATCCACGTTCTCGTCTGCCCCACTTCCCTGTCTGTTGTTTTCCTCTCCCTCCACATCCATGTCGCCACCGCCCATGTGGGCTTGGTTGCCTGCACGCACAAAATCAGAGCGCATGTGATTGGCCGCTCACATGAGAACCCGATCGACTGCAAGATGAACTCAATAACCGATTTGAATGATCACGCACATCCGTTCATAGCCGTTTCTCTCCACACAGAAAGCTCTACTACATATCACCTGGGTTTGTATTTGGTACTTGATCGTCTTCCATCATGAAGTGACGCCCCTCCCCGATGCCGTTCCATGCTTGGACAAGCAACATCGATGCGTGCGAGTGGGGCCGTATCCCCCGCACTGGATGGACGTCACCATCCCACAATTCCTCCACATCGGACCATCTAACCATAGCGTCCGGCATCCTCTCCGTACCCCCCTCAGCCATGCCTCCATTCCTGTCGCTTTCACTTTCCTCTGGCGCATCTCCTCCTACCGCCCCCGCCCCCTGCTCCCTTGGTACTTCCCCTCGTCCCGTGTTGTTGGCTGTCCTAACTCCCCTTTCCAACCTCACTACTTGTTGCAGCTCTAGGTGCAAATACTTTGCATCCGACTCCTTCATGTCTTTGAACTCAAACGCACGCAAAAGACATACTGCGTGAATGATTTCTTTTTTCCCCGCCGATCTGCTCACCCCCCCACCACCTCGGGAAGGATGCCCTAACCACTCTAACAGTTTTTTCACTGTGATTAGATATAGATCCTCACATACGATTGCCCCGTCTACCGTGCCAGCCTTTCGAGTCGCGTCCTGCACCTTTTCCCTAAAGTTACGGACCACAGAACCACACTTATGCCACCAATCTACTTGGTGCTTCACACCTCGCTCGTTGGCGGCTCCACTATAAGTGTTTCCCTCATCCGTGACAATGCCCTCTAGCCCAAAACCACTATTCACTAACTCGTCCATGCCCTGGTTGAACGCTACCCTCTCTAGCATCACCGATGAGTCGTCATCCCTCCCTCTCCTAGTGTTTTTACACATCATGATTTTTCGGGATTCACGGTCCATGAACGACACCGTGCACCATTTGGCTTCGCGAACATTCGACCAACGACCATCGATGCACAGCCATCTTCTATTTACTGGACGCTGTGACATGCTCACCCGAACTGCTTCCATACTGCTTTTGGCCTGCTCTATGATCGCACTCCATAGACCACTATCGCCACCCATGAAGCGGTAAAATGTTCCATGGCCTGGACGTGGAACACCCAAGCTGCGACATATCTCCCAAGTTTGTTGATACCCGATTCCTGCTAGAGCAAAGGCTCCCACAAGCTTATGCATC